ATTGATACTGTAGTGAATGATGAATATCAATTATAGAATAAACCCTTTGGTCAATCGAGGTATAAATAACTCTACGGTATTAAAACACAAACTTACGAATATCCTCAGCATCGTATGGAAAGGAGAGCACTCTTACACCTGTATAGTCTCAGTTTATCACAAGGAATCCTCCCAAGCTCCTGGACTAAAAGTTTAATCATCCCTATACCCAAATCCAACACTGACAAATACAGACCAATTTCCCCTAGACTGTATGGATTTCTCCCAGGACTTAGCAGTCAGCAATGTTTTGCAGAATGCTTAACAAACTCAATACCAGGCATGCAAACCGTATTTCTTGATGTTCAATCTGCCTTTGATATTGCAAACAGAGAAATGAACCTTGAGCAACTAGCTAGCCTTGGTATTCAGAGAAAACTGTTAACATGGATTCAAATGCATCTATCCAATCGATCGGCTCAGGTTTTCTTCAGGGGTGTTAAGAGTACTCATGCAAAAGTGTTTAAATTCGGCACACCTCAGGGAGGCGTACTTAGTCCCATGCTATTTAACATCCTAATGCATAGATTACTAGGCGATATACCACTTGAGGGCAATGACTCCATTATTTGCTATGCCGATGATATTTGCATTAAATCCTCATCCGAGGAGAGAATGCAACAGATCCTTGATGTGCTTTTAGCAAGGGCTACAGAGTGTGGCTTGATCATATCGACTGAAAAAAACAAGGCACTTAACCCTAAAACAATCCCCCTGCCAAGGTTTCACATCAATAACGTTGAGCTAGATCTCTGTCACCAATACAGATATCTCGGGGTGGCTGTTAATGATGCAGAGTTCATACAAAACCTGAAGAAAAGGCTGTGGGAACGTCTGAAGACACTTAGGACACTTGTCGGCAAAGACCATGGTATTAATGTCAATGTTGCTAGACTCTTTTACCTGTCATACATACGGTCGGTCATAGATTATCATGCATTGCACCTAGTATTATACAAGGAATCAGAGTTGGCTAGTTTAGAAATTGTACAAAATGAGGCCATGAGGCTTATTCTTGGTGCCCCTAAGACAACGAGGATTGTGAATATGAGAACAGAACTTAATTTGCCGTCTGTCTATGAAAGAATATTATACATAAACACCACATTTAGCGTCAAAGCAATAAGAGAACCCCTCTATTGTACAGAGTTCCAAAGACAACTAAAACATAGAATAGTGGAGCTAACTTTGAATGGCAACATCGATTCAAATTCAAATCCATGGCAACAAGTAACATGTAAGCACTTGTCTCAACTGAACATATCCATAACTAAGACCCTACATGGACGTTCTGCTCCACCGTGGAAAATGTCGGACCTAAGTGTATTTTATACGACTGCCCCCAAAAGAGACAGTGTCCCCCCTGCTGTACTTAAGCAGTATGCTTTAGCAATTATCAATGAGCACCTTGAAACTATGCCCAATGCGTATGAATGCTACACTGATGGATCCTTGCAGTCTGGGAGTAGAGCAGGATGCGCTTTTGTCGTATATAAAAACAATATTTTGCAGCACCAGGATTGTAGGCGGGTTCATGACTGAGCTAGCACTACGCAAACTGAGTTGACAGGAATGTTCATAGCCACCGAATTTCTATTAAGTCAAGGCTCAGGAGTCATTTTCTGCGACTCACAGAGTGCTCTCCAGGCATTGAACACACTAGACAAAGGTGCAGGAAATATTGCAAATGTCATAAGAAATGTGTATCGTGCAAAAGAACGAGGCCATGACATACGTTTTGTGTGGATACCATCGCATGTTGGAATCCCCAGGCATGATCATGCTGACCGCCTAGCAAAATCAGCATGTGACAAGCAAAGTGTGGATATAGATCTTGGAGTACCTCTTGCTAGGATTTCACACATAATTAAAACTTCCTTCAAAGAGGACTTGTCTGACTTGATTAATTCTCAACGGCCTGAAAGCTGTAGCATAAAGCACTATGACCGGTTTATGCAAGATGTATTCATCTATGGTTTATACAAAACAAGAACAAGACAGTGTGATATTATGACCGCAAGAATCAGGCTGGGATATAGATTGTACTGGCAAGTCAGTACAGCCTGTAATATTGAAGAAACTAAGTGTAAATTATGCAATGAAGAATATAAGCGAACACGTACATTATATCTCAGAGTGCCATATAATACAGCCTTTCAGACCACCTAGCATGAGGTATGGAGAACTATGTAACTACTTCATATCATCTGATGTCTTGGAAGATATAATTATGTTATATCCTAAATTTGGAATGTAGTATCACATGACCACATATCAAATGTTACATAGCCTTTTCACGCCCTAGCCGTATACCGGCTTGATAGATGAGTAGATAAATTACTGATTGCTCTTTTCTTTTAAATGATATATTTTAGACCGTAATAATTTTATGATCTAGATTTACACTGTAATACTATTATATAATGCTTTGACCATGTATCAAATGTACCACAGCTTGCCCACGCCTGTGCAGTTAGCCAGGGTGGTAAATAAAGGACTAAACTAAACTAAAACCTCAGCACCCCGATAACAGTAAGGATAGTGAACATGAGATTAAACTTACCCACTATTTCTGATATAATTATATATATTTACACTATATTTGGGATCAGAGGTCTTAAAAGCATGCTAAAATAAATTGCCTTAGCAACAGTAGAGAAACACACAATCTATGGGCGATGTGTACGAGTGTTACGCTGACGGATGCGTACAGTCTGGATACAAAGCTGGATGTGCTTGCGCTGTATACAAAGATGGCTTCCTACAACATCAAGTTAACATGAGATTGCAAAATTGGGCCGGCACAACGCAAACGGAGTTGGCAGATATACTCCTTGCAACAACATTATACAAGAGAGCGTGACTTGAATATTCAATTTGTATGGATGTCATCTCATGTTGGTATACGCAGGCACGATCACGTAGATAGGTAAGCGAAAAAAAAGCCTTTTGCTATGGTTGAACACACATTGAAAGTTTTCACAAGGAGATATTGGTAAATCTGACGAACTCGGTAAGGCCTGAAAGCTGTAGCAAAAGGCACTACGGTCAGTATAGAGATAGCAGGCCCTCATATGATTGGCACCGAAGTAAAAATAGACAATGTGACGTGGTTATTGGTCTATACGTTTAGATTACAGAATGTGCTGGCAAATGCACGCTGCAAGAAGTGCAGATGAATCTAGATGTAACGAGGAAATAGGCGAACACATGAACACTAAATCTCGGAGTGTCATATGATACAGCTTTTCAGATCACCCAGCAGGAGGTATAAAGAACTATGTGATGATTTCCTTTCATCTGATACACTGGAAGATATACTATCGCCTAAATTTGCGATGTAACATAACCGAAATCAGAACATTGTTAGGCAAAGATAGTGGCAAAAGTGTATCAACTTAATATTCTTTTGCATGATGTATAACTCATATTTTCATTAGATAATGTACAATTACAGTAACCGGAGAATGATGTACTATATCGAATATATGCAAAACTCTGTAATCACGAATGCCCATGCCTGAGCAGATAGTCTGGGTGGCAAATAAACTTGCTTAACTTAACTTATTGTGCATCAAGCAAAGGCCAAATATCAAATGTAGCCAGTTTTGACCATCCATATGCAAATGAGTATATAAGACATACGAAAAAAACGCATGCAACGTCTTCCACTGTCTCCAGAAATACTTTTGATTTTTCACATCTCCAACAAACCGCATAAAAGGAAAAAATAAACTTTCATATCCACGTAATGGCTCAGGAACAAAAACACCATAAAATGAAAGCCATGGAGCATGAAGGTTTCTTGTTTCCTTTCCTGGGAGACCCGAGGCTCATGGCGACGGGAGGGAAAGGCAGGGGAGGGGGAGGGAGGGAAGAAGAGAGAGAGAGATGTGTAGGTGGAACAGGAGGAAGGGGGCGAAGAGGAGTAAGGGTAGAAGGGGAGGAAAAGGAGGAGAAGGAGGGGTAGAAAGGGATGAAGAGGAGAAGGAGCAACAACAACAATAGAAGAAAGGAGGGGGTAGAGGGGCAGGGGGTCGGGCAGGGGGCGATGTAAGAGATATCCGGTCTATAGCTCCGCGCGTTCACTTTATTGCCATTATGCTTGCGTAATAAAGGCGCTGCTTTCCTCATTCCTATCTCGGAAATGCCTCTCCCGACACCTTTATGTCGAAGAGAAGATAATATTTATGGCTCAATATCCTCGCCGGCATATACCATTTATAGAAGTCAAATTTATCCAAGTCTGTATTTTACAGTTGTTTTTCTCTTGTAGTTTGTCATGATTAGTTATCATTGGTTACTAATTTTTATCCTTGTTGATACCACTTATGATTCTCATATCTATAAATTATAGGCCTATGAAACGAACCCGAAGTCTAAAATCAATGGCCCATTAATAGAATTTGCCTATCATAAAATACCTCATATATCTTACGCCGAAATATAATTCCTTTAACCTTTCCTCATACATCACAAAATCCACCTTTATAGTCCTAATGCACCACAAACTCGACTGTGAAGAGCTATTACATTAAAAAAAAAAACAGGTTTACTACCCATCCACGAACAGAGATCACACACATACGACCTGCTTCTGCAACAAAGGTCATTCAGGCATTTGCAAAATAACAAGGATACTAGCAATAACTAATACTGAAATGAGAGCAGTAATACCGATAGTGGCGATAATGAGGATAATGATGGCAATGGGAGTATTAATGATGATAATGATGGAATAACAATGATGATAATAATGTTGATAATGATAATGATAATAAATGATGGAAATAACATTAAAGTAACAACGAATACAATAACGTTATTAGTAATAACCATAACAGGAAGTTAATCAGTGCTCAAAACATCACAATGTCGTGAGATGGACATACTGTTATGAATGACACCCATAGACCCTTCCTTGCCATACCACCATACTCACTGCCTTCCCTCTTGAACAG